GTTTCCACTGCTGTAGTTCAAAGTGGTTTTATTCAATGTATGGGAGCTGCATTAAGAGGTACATATTRAATACATGGTCAAATGTTAAAACCTTTGTTTTGTTGTATTAATGGCTGAAGTGAGTGTTTGATTTGCATCTTGTAGGAAATACATTGTTACAAGGATTAGAAATTTTGCCACAACTTTTACAGGTACGCTTTATCTTTTGTTTGTTCCATTTTATTATTTTTTGGTCTGGTTATAATTACTGCTGGGTTGGTTCCTCAGTAGATACAAAGGAAGAACTTAGGAATTCTTGTTTTGTGATGATAGTCATTTGTACTTGTTTAGAGATTTTGTATGAGTGGGAAACGGACGGTACTGTACTGTGACCGTAATCGTACTGTAACCAAATTCTAGTGACCCATTGGTTCACAAAAATTGTACAGGGCAGGTACGGTAACTGTGTGGTAACCATGCGGTAACGGTGTCCCACTCATACGAAATCTGCTCTAATAATATACAATAGTTGTTTGGCACTGCATGACAACATGCATGCAGTGATTTTTGATATGTATAGTTTACAACATGAGCGGCCGTGTTGTATGGGAATTACAATCTCAAGCCGCAGGCGAGAGATTGTAATTCCCATACAACATGGACTCGAATGTTGTAAACGACTTATAAAACTCCAACACAAATTAACATGAATTACAGTGAGATAAATGACGAAAAAAGACAACTGCTGAGTTTAGTCCCTATTAAGCATGCGCAATTTACTGCAACACAGAACATTTTGAATAATTATCCATCYCACATGGAAAGCAAGCCATCTGTTGCATAAGCGAGTTCTGTTATCCGTCTTTGATTGCTTCAAAACCTAGTGAAGGTCTATGATGCGACACTAAAACTGAGACCTTTGCTAGTGTTGGGTTGTCTCAATGGTGACAACCGTGTTGTAAATCTGATACAACACTAGTGGTTGTATCAGATTTACAAGGTCAATCACCTGATTAAATGGTCAGCCCTTATTGGAGCAATAGCTTATGCATTATTAATAAGTTTTATAATAATATTTACTTGTAGTTTGTTTGTTGTCCAGGCTATAGATCGTGCAGTTAGCCAACCACAT